GATGATGATGATGATGATGATGATGCTGATGATGATGATGGGCATAATGTTGATGATGATGGTGCTGATGAGGTTGATTGTGATGATGATGATGATGCTGGTGATGATGATGGTGAATCTGATGAGGATGATAGGCGGTGTTAATGAGTGAGAGGGGTGATGAAGAGTGGTGAGGGTGATGTTGGCGGTGAATGTGGTGCTGATTATGATGATGATGTTGATGATGATGATGATGATGATGATGGTGATGATGATGCTGATGATACTGATGATGATGGTGATGTTGATAATGATGACGATGATGATGCTGCTGACGATGATGATACTAAGGATGATAATGGTGATGACGATGATGATGGTGATGACGATGACGATGACGATGACGATGATGAGGATGCTGAGGATGCGGATGAGGATGATAATGGTAATGCTGATGATGATGACGATGATGACAATGATGATGATTATTATGATGCTGGTGATGATGATGCTGATGGTGATGCTGATGCTGATGCTGATGATATTGTTGTTGTTGATGATGGTGATGATGATGATGATGATGATGATGATGATGATGATGATGATGATGATGAGTGCGTTGGCGTGTGAGTTTACGAGTGAGAATGAGAGTGGGGAGGAGGAGGAGTTGGAAGTCTTACGCGGCGGGTGCGCAGAGGAAACAATGACCCCACTTTGGATATGGGGAAAACGATGGACATGCGTCCCGAGCTTCCAAGACCGCCCGTGCAGTCAACTAACAACACCAAGATGGCCCAAGATGCCTCGAAGACGGCCAAAGATGGCCCCAAGGCGGCCGAATATTGTTTCAACACGGCCCTAGATGCCTGCAAGGGGGCCCAAAAGGGCTACAAGAAGACCCCCAACAGGGTCCGAAGAAGCCAAAATCATTGATTACCGTGTGTTAGCTTGATGACTTTTGCATTATCACCTTGTCGGGCTGCCGTCAGCTCAAGACGGCCCAAGAGGACTCCACGATGGCCCAAGAGAGGCATCCAAGACCGCCCCCAAGACGGCCCAAAAAGGCCTCCCGTGGGACTCAAGACGGCCTTAGAAGGCCCTTCGGCGGCTTGGGACGGCGACAAGACGGCCCCACGACGGCTCTCTGACACCCGCCATACGGTCAAAGGGGCCCCGAAGACGGCCAAAGAGAACCCCAAACCGGCGTAAGAGGGCTCCAAGGCGGCCGAAGAAGGCCACAGTGGACCCCTAAGACTGCCCCACAGGACGCCAAGACAACCCCAAGACGGCCCAACCGAGTTTCACAATCATCTTCATCATCATCATCATCATCATCATCATCAGCAGCAGCATCATCATCAGCATCATCATCATTATCACCATCCTCATTATCATTATCACCACCCTCATCGTCAGCATCGTCATCATCATCACCATCATCATCGTCAGCATCAGCATCATCATCATCATCCGCATCCTCATTATCATCATCACCATCATCATCATCATCATCATCATCATCATCATCATCATCATCATTGTCATCATCATCATCATCGTCAGCATTGGCATCATCAGCATGGTCATCATCATCACCATCGTCGTCATAATCATAATCATCGCCAGCATCACCATCACAATCATCGTCCTCTCCATCATCAACACCCACATTACTATCACCAACATACACATCAACATCAACATCTGCATCACCATCGCCATCGTCATCATCAGCATCGCCATTGCCATGGTCATCCTCATCCTCATCATGGCGTTCCAGAGCCTGGAGACGCAAGTTGTCACAGGTGACGGCTTCCTGTGCCCCCTCGAACACTCGCCACCCAGAATGTTGGCATGGCTCGGTGGCATGAATTGCCGCAGGCAGCTGGGAATTGCACAGTAGCCACACACTCACGGCGTCTCACCAACCGAGCATCATAACATGACTGGCCGTACCATGACCGATTGGACGACGCATCCAACGTGACAGGCGTCACGACGCCAAGCCAGCCCTTTGAGAACGCAACATAACGCAACCGAATACAATCTAATATAAGAGAACGTGATGACATACAACATAGCTGATGTCTGGTTAAAACAACATCAACAGATTGATGATGCCCTGTCACACGCAGCATCCACGCCGACGTAAGGCTGGTTCCAGGACAAATGCAAGCGCAGCAGCGCCCGATTAGACAAAATATCGAACGTGATACGCGTTACGGCGTCACGCCGGCCCGCCGAGAGCATGTCAGAACAAACCACATGTGCACATCACAGAACATAACCGAACACAACGTCACACAAGATGATACAGCAGAGACCGAGTAATGCCGTCCTATCACATGCGACGTGCGCGCCGAGCCCACTTTGGCCACATAAACAAACAGTAGCAGCAACGACCGATTCGATGACACATCATACGTGACAGGCTTCACGACGTCACGCCGGTAAGGTCGTTCACTACACTGGGGCAGAATCCAAGCGAACAGAATATAGCACAAGATTTTCACAGCAGCAACCAGTTCACAGCATCTCATCAAACGGATCTCATCTATGGCCGACCGTACTAAAATGTGATCACACGCGTCGTGCGCGCCGAGGTCAGGCTGGACACAAGAACAAGCTCGCGCAGCAACGACCGATTAGACGACGTATCTAACGTGACAGGCGTCACGGCGCCACGCCAGCCCCTCCAGCACATAACACAACATAACATCATGTCATACACGACGGAGAGGCAGAAGCCACGCGAACTGAACATAGCCCCAAACAAGTCTTGGAGCCTCGCTCTCACAACGCGTTTAGGTGTTAGGTTTTTCGCCCCAGGGCTTTTGGTCCAACCTCCTATTGGCGGCAAGCGAGGGGTGGGGAATGAGAAGGAGAAGGCCTCGTCAGAAGACGGCTGGATTTCTCCGAAGCCCTCGGGCCTTCCGAGAAGTGTTCTCTTATCACAACGCGGCTCCCAACAGGTCTCGACCTCTTGCTTGGGGTCGTTCCCGAAACAGCACAGCGAATTATGTCAGGGATGCGAGCTGCAGTCGAGGAGCCTGCGCTTGAGAGGCAGTCTGCGGAGCGGGCGCCGCCGGAGCGTCGTGCGGTGCCGTGTTTCGTGCCGGGTGGCCGTGCCGTGCCCAGGGGTGTCGAGAATGCAGAGGGGGTGCCGTGCAGTGCCGCGCCAGAGCGTCAACGTGCGAGGACTGTGCCCTGCCGTGCTGTGCCCGCATGCCGTGCCGTGCCTACACGCTGTTCATGTCTAAATTTTCGACAGGTCTTTGATGCTCTGGGGGGCCAGGATCCCCTCCTTTCGGATTGCTCCAGCCCTGGCCTCGTCCTGGCCACTTGGGGGACCGGGAATCACGAGAAACGAGCACACTTAGAAATGAGCACGATTAGAAATTCTGCACGCACGAAATGGGTACTGAAAGAATGGGTACAATGCCCAACAGCGGATCCTGTTCATTTTGAACAGGGCTCGCTGTCCACGCCGCCGCGGCCTGTGTCCATTCGAGACAGGAGGCCGCCTGCCCAACAGCAGCCGCTGTTGGTTTGGGACAACACTTGCTGTTGGGCACTGTACCCATTCTTTCGGTACCCATTTCGGGCGTCCAAAGAAATGAACGATGTGTAGGTTCCCGCGTGCCGCGCCGCGGCGTGCCGTGCCACGGCTCCCGGACGCGGCACGCGTGCCGTGCCGTGCCCGCAGGGCGGTATACCCTGCCGAGGTGCCAATGCCAGAGTGCGCCAGCCGTGCCGCGCCGTGCCGTGCCCGCGTGCCGCATGCCGTGCCGTGCCCAGGCTCCGGGACGGGACAAAAACGCACAGACATAACCACCCTCCTCCTCCTCCTCCTCCTCCCCCTCCTCCTCCTCCTCCTCCTCCTCCTCCTCCTCCTCCTCCTCCTCGTCCTCCAGGATGGGACAAAAAAGACCCAGAAAAGATATGGGGAAGCCTGTTTTTGTGCCCACGTATTTGTGTGTGTGTGTCCCAGGGCCCCTTTCACAGGTTCCAGGATGCGGGGTTTGGTGCCGTGCCGCGGTGGCGAGTCGTGCCAGAACGTGAAGCCTTGGAATGTGCGAGAGATTCAGGGCAACTCAGATGAGGAAACGGTGCCCATGACGCTACCCTTCCCTCGCTTTCCTCTCTTTGGGCCTCCTGGGAGGCCCTCGTCGCCACCGCTGGATTCGCCTCGACATGCTGGTCAGAACGCGCCCCGGGAGAGGTCCGGGCAGTGGCGGTGTCGGTGCCCTTTTGGCTCCCCCAACAACACGCTTCCCGAGCATCGAGTGCGGACGGTGTGCCGTGCGGTGTTTGTGCTGTGCGCTCGGCGTTTCGAGTGCGGGAGGGGGGGGGCCACGCCGAGCCGTGGGGCCCTGCCGTGCCGCGCTGCGCTTGGATTCCAGAGTGCGGTACAAGGTGTTGGTCGTGCTGTCAGGTGCCGTGCGTGGTTCTCTGGATGCGACAAAAAAATGTTGCTCTCTCGGCTTACTGCGTTAGTCGTAGCCTGTTCGCGCCGCCTCATTTCGTCTCTGCGTAGCGCGCTTTGACCTGACTCGCCGCCGGCGCGCTCGCCCGCGGCCGCTGACTAAAAAGTCTATGCCGGCGTGCCGTGCCATGCCCTGGTGCCGTTTCGTGCACGCACCTGCCGATGCTTCTTCGCCAGGAGCCCTCTCGTGCAGCGGTTCTGTTCAGGGTCTACGTGCTGGAAGCATGGATTTCCCCGGATCTCTGTTTGACGGTCCCATGACCCTGGCCAGGTGCCCCTTGTGGGCGGGAGCCGGCCAAGAGTTGTCCGTGACGCTCTGTTCACCACGTGAATGGGGGTACGGCTGCGGCATTGAATAAGGAAGTCTTCCTGGGGCCCAGACCCTGGCGCATTCCTTATTGTTTCAAGGCGAGGTGGGTAGCCCACGTTTGGCGCCCATCGGTCGCGAGACCCTGGGTTCCTTGAAGAAGGTACCCTTATCTAACGCCTCCACCGTATGGGTACGCGCGTGCACGCTTTTTGTGGAGACCCTCCAAGGAGGAGGACGGCTGCTTCCGGCCACGGGACTGCGAGGAGCCGGTGGTCAGCAGCGCCGCGGAGCTGCTGGGGCTGATGGGCGAGGCCGCGGGGCGTCGCGCGACGGACGCCACGACCGTGAACTCCACGTCCTCGCGCTCGCACTCCGTCTGCAGGATCTCGGTCTTGCAGGACGGCAAGGCCTGCCAGGAAGGGGCAAAGTACCCTGCTTACCCGGAATCTTCTAAAATTCGTCTCCCAGGTCCGGTTTTTTAAGGCGACTTTTTTGGAAGCGGGGGGTCCAGTTTATTAGGGCGGTTTCTTTAAACAGAAGATGACGGGGGTCCGGAATATCAATAAGGTCCCCCGTTGACAGCGGGGTCCGGAACATTAGGTTGCCATTGAAGGGGGGTCGGGTTTTTTTGGGGGGCCGATTTTTCCGGAATTTCGAGTAGAGCGACGAGATCCACCGCCGCTGGCCGTGCCCGTCCTTGGCCCACGATTGGTGGACGTGTTCTCGGGCCAAGCCAAGGGGTTATGATGTTCCAACCTACATTAGCCTTGACCGTCAGAAAGAATTTCGAGCACCTGGACAGTATCGGAGCTGGAAAGCCTTCACGTGTCGGATCCTGGAAGGCGATACTCGTTCGACCCAGTTTCGGTACTTTGCTGGGTGCTCGAATTTTTTTCTGGGACGTGGTCCTTGAGTACGATGGGAACAACATAAGCCAAGGGTTGCGGGAGTCGATTAACGGAGAGGAAGCATGCTGCCAAATAATTTCCAGTTGTCAAACAATGTTTCAAACATGTTTTAAATGTGTGATTAAATGTGTGAGCACATGCTTGAAGCATGAATAGGACATGATTTACACATGTTAACCACATCCTTGATTCAATGATCGGATTGTTAGAGTGTCCATTGTCATGGCATCCACAAGCCAAGGGGCGTATATTCACCGCCCCTGGGCCCGGGAGAGGCCCGGCCGGCGGCGGTGGAGGTAGATGCAGGTTGAGCTCTCGTCGCCCGGCCGCCGGCCGTGCGGGGCGGGCGCGGAATGGCTGTGGCGGGAGAGTCGGGTGCCCGCGGCCGGCGTTGAGGCCCCGTGGCTAGTGACGCATTGGAGCGGAGTCGAACAAAAAAAACATCGTTGTTTTTCGTTTTTTTTGTTTGTGTGTGTGTGTGTGTCAAGCAGTGGCGAAGCGCCCTGGCTCGCCTACAGCCCCACCAAACAATGCTCTGAGAACCGCTCGTGGTTTCCACGACATGCTCTTAGAACATGTCTGATGGAGCCCGTCTTGTTTTATCACATCGGGGTTATGTTCTACGAACCTTGTTTGTGTTCTTAGAACATTTTGGGTTTCTAAGGACATTTTGTGGTAGGACTATAGGAATGCCGGGACGGTCGGTCCCTGCTCAAGTGTGTGTTGTGTGCGTTGTTAAAAAAAGTCAGGGGAGAAGATTGTTTGACCATCTGTGGCTAGTTTCGAATATGTTTGACCATGGTTGATTTTTTCCCTCCAGAACGCCCCTGTAGGAGGACATGCCCGACCTAGAAGGGCGGGTGCGTCTCTCTGTGGCGGGAGATCTGCTTCCTGCGGCCGGCGTGCGCGCGCCAAGGGATCGTCTGCTCTGCAGCCAGGCCCACCCTGGGTGCGCGATCGGCGGACATCACTCAGGAGGGGACAAAAACACAGACACAATGAATCGTCGATCCCCCAGAAAATATGGGAAACTATGGGAGGTGGGGGGAAGACGAACATAACAAAATATATGGAAACATATGGGGAATCCTTTTGTTTGTGTGTCTTTATTTGTGTGTTCCAGGGCCCCTTTAATCACTCAGCGGCCACGCCAGGAGGGCGAAAACACCGGTATACGGGGCCCAGGGTGGGCTTGGCCAGGACTGTTGCCACAAGCCTGGGAGCCCGTGCAGGAGGGAGGGGAGGAGGAGGACAAGGAGAAGGCGGAGGAGGAGGGATCATCGACGGGAGAAGGAAGGAGGGACAGCGGGAGCAAACATGGAGGGGAGAAGACTGGAGGAAGAAGGGGAGGATGGGAGAAGGGAGGAGGAGGAGGAGGAGGAGGAGGAGGAGGAGGAGGAGGAGGAGGAGGAGGGAGGAGAAGGAGGAGGAGGAGGAGGAGGAGGCCGAGGAGGAGGAGAGCAGACCTGGGCTGCATCGCCGATGCTGCAGCACACGCCCTCCCGTCCCTTAAGGCCCCTCCCCACAGGTCCCCACAGGCACCCCTCTCCACTGCTGAAGGCGCCACCCTTGAAACCCCTGGCATCGCTCGGACGTGTGCATTTTTTTTCTCGGCGAGGACCATCGAGGAGTATCCTTGATCATCTGGCGAAAAAAACACGCACGAAACCAAAAAACACAGGGAATGGACGTCCGAGCGATGGCCAGAACCTGGGCGCCACATGGTTTTGCAATTGAGGCGATGGTCCTTCTTTTGAAGAGGGGCCGCCGCTCACACTTCTAGAGATACGCGACGAAGCCGGAGCAGCAAGTCCAAGGAGGTATCCAGCGATGTCCGTAAGGGTTTCGCCCCCTGCCGCCGGCCCCCCCCTCTCTTAGAATGGGACTTGCCACAGCTGTGTTGGGATGTCTGGGCGCTGACGTGAAGCAATGTCGGGACTTCACAAACTGCAGAATGTCGGGTTGCCTCATAACTACGAATATTGCATGTTCAAAGGTTTATGGCTTCGGGGGCGCGGATTCGTCGTAATACACAATGGTTTATGGCCTCGGGGACGCGAAGATTGTGTAAGTTACGAAGGTTTATGGTCTCGAGGGCGCGAATATTCTGTAATTCACAATGGTTAGTCGCCTCGGTGACGCGAATATCAAATAATTTGAAAGTTTATGGCATCGGGGACGCTAATTTATCGGGCTTATGGCCTCGGGGACGCAACTATCATGTAATTTGCAAGGTATTCTGGTTCCGGGGACGCGGATATGTTTTAATCTCGGAAGGTTAGTGGCCTCGGGGACACGAATATCAGTTATTTTTGCGAGTCCCACGCTCCCCCAGGAATTCTGAGAACCCTTCCAGGGCGTAGCAGAAAATCCTGTTTGGGGCTCCCACCCCTCGCGCGGACAGCAACAATTAACAGTAAGGAAGCAGAAAGCAGGACTGTAACAGTGGAAACTGGAGACTGCAGGTGGAACAGGGAGCTGCAACCTTCACCCTCGCAGCCTGGTGGCCCCGCGGGGGGGCCGGCGGATTCCCAGTGCGAAGAGCAGCCACCATCAATGCGTGATTTTTGTTCGGTTGTCTGACAAGCTTGGCCCCAAAGCGGAGGTCCCACGCCAAGGCCTGCATTCGCTTTCGCCCCCCCGCCTCCCAACACCCACCCCTGCTCGGACCAGCGCCCCTACGTGCAGAGGCCACGGATGTGCCGGCTCACACTGGGAAGCGGGCCAGATGGGCGAGAGGAGTACGTGTCTGGGCATGGCACCTGGGAGGGGGGGGGCGGAGGTTGCGGATCCCGTCGGCTGCCGTCCCCCAGCCACCAGGAAAGGGGGGGAGAGGGCGGGGAAGAGAGCGGTTCTCCGCTCCCTCAAACTAATATTGAACAGCGCATGTCAATTCGCTTTGCACAGGGGACTCTTCAAACGAAGGTTCGAATCTCGAGTAGTCTTAGCTAAGCCGAGCCAAAGTCACCAGACTGACTTCTGGTCGAGTCGACCAACAAGCTCCATCCTGCACCCGAAGTCCTCTAGATCCGACCCCTTCCCCGCTCGGAGGAGGAACTCTCTGAGTTTGGAGTTGCTCCCACGGGTGTTGGTGCGCCGCCAGCCAATCATGTGACACCCTCGTAAGTTTTGCTTGTGTCCAGGCAGGAGAACGAGGGAGAGCGAGAGAGGGAGAGGGAGGGGAGGGGGTGCACAGGGGAAGGGCCCCAGAGGCGGTGGAGCCCGGGTATTGTTGCAGCGGCGCCGCCTGAGGCCGTCGGCCGGCTTCTCCTCGTCGACTGCGCCGGCACCGAGCGTTCCCGCGACTCGCTCTTTTTCAAGGGAGCGACCCAGCGGGACACGGGGGGGTGCAGGGGGCAGGGAACGTCCTGTCCTCAATTCTCTCTCCTTCCTCCTCCCGCCTTCCTCCTCCCGCTACCCTCCACCTCCTCCTCCTCCTCCTCCATCCTCCTCCTCCTCCTCCTCCTCCTCCTCCTCTTCCTCCTCCCTCCCCCTCCCCCTCCCCAGTCCCCTCCCCCTCCTCCTCCCCCTCCCCCTCCCCCTCCCCCTCGCCTGTCCTCCCTTTCCTCCTCCTCCTCCCCCTCCGCATCCTCCTCCCTCGCACACTTCCACTCCCCCTCCTCCTCCCTCCCCCTCCCCCTCCCTCCTCCTCCTCCTCCGCCCCTCCTCCTCCTCCTCCTCCTCCTCCTCTCCTCCTCCTCCTCCTCCTCCTCCTCCTCCTCCTCCCGAGAGCCTGGTCTTCCAGGCAGCTCCACCGCCCGCCCCCCTTGAGGCGTGCGCCTCGGGGAGAGCCGCCAGACTTCATGTCTGAGGCGGCGTCGGAGCCCGGCCGTCGGCTGGGCTTCGCGAGCCGCGCCCAGCCACGGGCATCTTCACGCCCTCGCGGGGCCATCCTCGGAAGCGGGGCGGCTCCCCGGCTCAGGCCGCGACGCGCGAGGCGCTCGCACTGCTTGCGCCACAGTCGCAGGCGCCCGCTCGAGGGTCATTGAGATGGCCGATATGGTCTTCCAGGGCACCGTCGTGGGCCCGCCTTTTTGGAGTGTGTTTTTCAGTGACGCCCGTGTGGCGATCATTAGAATGTTGCTTGAAGACATGCTTTAAGCAGACGGCCTGAATGCGCTCCGCCCCTTTGCACCCCTCGGGGTGGACCTGCACGAGCAGGCTGGATTTCAGTGCGGAGGCGAACGTTGGACCCGCTCGATCGCCGAGCGGGCTCGACCCGAGGCCCGGTCGTCAGCCAAGTGGGCTCAGACGCCGCATGGGCTCAGACAGGTGGGCGGGTGCAGACGTTTGCCGCGTGCCGCCGAAGAACTGGACGAGAGGAGGGAGGGGGGGAGAGGAGCGCGCCGGGATGTGCTGGATCGCCACGCACGTGACCTTCCAACGGTTGCCCACTCGGAAGGGCCTGCCCACTCGGAAGGGCCGACCTCGTCCGAGCGAGACAGAAGAAAGTGAGAAGCAGGATGAGGAGGAGGAGGAGGAGGAAGAGACAGGAGGAGGAGGAGGAGAAGGAGGAGGAGGAGGACAGGAAGAGGGGCCCTAAAAAACTGGCCGCGGGGTGCTACAGGGAGGGTTTCATTTTGAATAAGAATAATGGGGAGGAGAAGGAGGAGGAGGAGGAGGAGGAGGAGGGTGGATGGGGAGGAGGAGGAGGAGGAGGAGGAGGAGAAGGAGGAGAGGGGGAGGAAGAGCATGAGACGGGATAGGGGGGAGGAGGGAGGGAGGGAGGGAGGGGGGGGAGGGGGGGAGGGATGAGGCGGATGAGGGAGGAGGGAGTGGACGAGCAGGGGGAGGAGGAGAAGGAGGGAAGTGGAGGATGAGAAGGAGCAGGAGGAGGGGCAGGCAGAGGAGGAGGGACGAGGAGGAGGAAATCACGCGGTGAAGGAGAAGGGTGGAGGGATTAGGGAGAGAAGGGGAATATCAGAAGAGCCAGTGAGGAGGAGGGAGGAGGTCATGGAGGAGGCAGATCCAGGAGCGGGAGAAGGATCAGGAGGCGGGGAAAAGGGAAGGGGAAGGAGCAGGTGAGACCGGGAAGAGGAGACGGAAGCGACGAAGAAGGGGAGGGGGGGCGGAGGGAGGAGGGAGGGAGGGAGGAGGGAGGGCGGGGAGGGAGGGAGGGAGGGAGGGAGGGAGGAGGGAGGGAGAGGAGGAGGAGGAGAGAGGAGAGGAGGATGAGGAGGAGGGGAAGGAGGAGGGAAGGAGGAGGAGGAGTGAGAGGAGGAGGGGGTGGAGGTGCCTTGCCAGGCTGCCTGTGCCCGCTGGAGCAGGCCCTCGAGGGCCCGATCTTTGGCGCCGAGGGGAGGGGGCGGTCCACGACGCCCCCCCCGCGCCGGAGAGAGCGCGGAGGCCTCGAGAGCGGGGCGCCGCGGAGCGTCGCGGGCGGCGTCTCGCCCCCCGCTGCGCGAGCTCCGCGCGAGGCACCCCGCCGAGCAGCGAGGGGGGGGAACTCGGGGGTGAACTTACGTCGGGCCTGTCCCTCTACGGGGGGAATATTCAAACATAGTCAACAAAAAAAGTCTGGGTACTATTTTTCAATTGTTTGACCATTTGGGGGTATTTCTTGGGTATCTTTTAAATTTTTCGTCGAAAATCCCCCTGTAGGGGGACACGCCCGACTTAAGGCTAGACCCCTGGGCAGCCATTCGGACGCCGCCCTATCGAGGATGGGCGCCCCCCCCCTGTCGTGCATCCCAGAGTGTGGCCCAAGACTTCTAGAATTCAAAAAACTGGTTTCTGAATTCTAGCCTCTTCCGCGTAGCCCCACCAGCCTGCAGCGCGGCCTCGGCGCAGCGGCTTCCCCCGGCGGTAGGTTTGCTTTCCTCTGCGCGAGCGCCAGCAACTAGGTTTGCTCGTAGCCCAAGCTGACTCGACCCGCTGCGGGCGCCTTCGCCTCTGGCCGCGAGGAAAAAAACACCAGCCTGTTTTTCGCCACTTTGGCGTGCACCTCCGGCGGCTGCTAGCTGCCGATGGCACCTTCTCTGTGAGCGCTGCGCGGCCTGTCCCGGCTTGTTCTCTTGTTGTCTCTCTTTTTTCTCCCGGTTCAATTTAGGTTCCTGCTTGTAAGCTGTAGCTCTGGACTGCGCGCGGCCCTTCCGTTTGCGCCTGCTTGGGGCCATCTTGGTGGACATCGATCGAACAAGAGGGGGGCATCAATTAGCGCTGCCCTTCGGGAGCCCAAGAAGTCGCCTCTTGGGGCGCTCCTGGGGCGCTCTTAAAGCGCTCTTGGGCGCTCTTGGGGCCGTCTTCGGACTCTCTTGTGCCTCTCTTGGGGCCCTCTTTGGCCATTTTGGAGCCATCTTGAGGCCTCGGATGGCCATCGGAAACGAAAAAGCGAGAAAGCCAACAACACTGATTCGCCCAAGGTTTTGGAGGGTTTTTGGCCTCTTCGGGGCCTCCTGGGGGGGGCACTTTGGCAGCCTGGAACCGTCTTGGAGCGGTCTTGGGGTTTGAGCATCGTGGGAGCCATCTTGAGGCATCATGGGGTAGCTTGAGCCATCTGGGAGGTCACCCTGGGCTCCCCCGGCGCTCTTGGAGTCATCTTAATCAGTGCCCCCCCTAGGAGGCCAACATGTGGCCAAAACCTGAGTCAAACCAATGATCGTGGCATTTTCGCCATGGCTCTTGGAGCGTCTTGGGTGCCTTTGGAGGGCCTCTTGGGGCCTCTTGGGGGTCTCTTGGGACTCTTGGGGGCATCCTGGGGGCCTCTTGGGACCTCCTGGCCATCTCTTGGGGCCCTCTTGGGGCACCCTCGGGCGCCTTGGGAGCGCCCTTGGGGCCATTTCGGAAGAGATCGATCAAAGAAGGGGGGTCCCTAATTAACCCCCCCCAGGAGGCCAAAATGGGGCCAACACTTCCTAGTAAAACCAATGATTTTGGTTTTCTCGCCGAGGCCGTTTGAGACGCCCCAACTACCCGCGAAACCCCAGGGGAGGGGGTATGGGGGAAGGGTCAAAACACCCTCCAGATAGCGAGCCGTCAAGCTCACTCCCACCCGCCCTCCCAACACATAAGTAACACCCGAGCCTCAGCATGTTCCGCGGTCGTCTTTTGATGAACAGCCACTGGGAACCAAAACCGAACCCATGTGCGCGACGTTGGGGCGAGGTGCGCCACGTGTGCCAGGCGCGCCACGCGCGCCAGGCACCCCTGGGGCCCGAACCGAGCGTGCCAGGCACGCCTAGTGCGCCAAATGCTCCTTGCAGCCGCGCCAGGTTGCGCCGCGTCCGGGGCACGTGCAGAGTATGTCATGTGCGCCTGCGCACAAAACAGCACACATCGGGAAACATGTCTGCCCCCACCATCCCTGCCGAAAACCAATGCCCATCATTGTTTCTGGTGGGCCGGCGCACAGCTGGCCAAACGCCACCACCCCCGCCGTCCCTGACAAAAACCTGTTGACAATGATCGCGGGGTGGCCGCGCACTATCCACATTTAGCCGCGAGGTGCATTTTGTACTGCGTGTTTGTCATGGATGGTAGCCCTGCGCGCAGCAGGCAATATGCTGACACCCCCGCCGTCCTTGTCGAACAACAAAACAAAATGCCCGCGGGCCTCACGAACATGCCTCCAGACTTTGCCCCAAAATGTATTGTTTTTCCCAACCCTCCTTGGTTGGGTATTCGTTTTGAATAGAGCAGTGTGGTCTCCACTCCTTCCTCCTCCTCCCTCCCTTCCTGCCTCTTCCTGTCTTGCCTGCGGGGGGCTGCGATCTGTGAAACTGTCGCCATTTTCGAGGCCTGTTGGGGGGCCCAGCACAGTGAGAGCCCCGCGCGGATTCAAATTAGACCTCGCCATCCCTGGGGGGCTGCGATCTGTGAAACTGTCGCCATTTTCGAGGCCTGCTGGGGGGCCCAGCGCAGTGAGGGCCCCGCGCGGATTCAAATTAGACCTCGCCATCCCTGGGGGGCTGCGATCTGTGAAACTGTCGCCATTTTCGAGGCCTGCTGGGGGGCCCAGCACAGTGAGGGCCCCGCGCGGAGTGCGAATTAGAGCTCGACCACCTGGGGGGGGTGCGATCTGTGAAACTGTCGCCATTTTCGAGGCCTGCTGGGGGCCCCAGCACAGTGAGGGCCACAGGCAAATTCAAATGAGACCTCGCCATCCCTGGGGGGGGGGTGCGATCTGTGAAACTGTCGTCACTTTCGAGGCCTGCTGGGGGGCCCAGCGCAGTGACGCCACGGGCAGATTCAAATGAGACCTCGCCATCCCTGGGGGGCTGCGATCAGTGAAACTGTCGCCATTTTCGAGGCCTGCTGGGGGGCCCAGCACAGTGAGGGCGACGCGCAGATTCAAATTAGACCTCGCCATCTCTGGGGGGGCTGCGATCTGTGAAACT